CTTGGCCCCCCCCCCCCCAGCAAAGACAACGGGAGCATTGACTCCCAAGCGACATGCCCACCCCACAGCCCTGGAAACATGGGCTCACCGCCACGCGAGGGTCCCACGCCAGGCAGCAGGAGGACCGCAGGCTTCGACGGCAAACACAAGGCGGCTTGTTTGCAACAGAAGGACAAGGGCAGGAAGTCCGCACACAGAACGGGCCACAGGAAGGGACGCCACCTGTGGGCCCCGTGTGTGTGTGTGTGTGTGGACAACGAAAGGCGCGATGTTAATATTGCATCCGGAGAAACGGAAAAGAGGACACCTGCTTGGGGGGAGGTCACGTGGTGGGGCTTCAAATAAAGAAGCCGGTGTCCTTCATGAGCGGGACGGCCGCCGCCGCATCCGCCGCCCGGCTTCCACGCTCCTGGCGCGGGAAGACTGGAGGCTTTATTGGGGGCGGGCGGGGGAGGGGCGACATGCGGCGGCATCGTTTGGGACCGGCCGCACGTGTGCACCTGCGCGCTAAAAGACCCGACTGTCCCGTCTTTTCACGTCGTCTCGGTGACAGAAAAAGCCTGGGATCCGTCCTTGGTTACCATGGTGACACGTGAGCACAATTCTTACTTGTGTTCACCCGCCCTCTCTTTCCTCATCGGAGTCAAAAGTTCCCAAACGGCTGGATGCCGTCCTCAAGAGGTTTCGAGACGACCGCCGGAAGTTGTGCCCCAAAACCTGCCGCCGGGAAGTTCCTTGGGGGGGGTGGGGGGAGACAGTGGCACATCTTCCGTTTGAAAAATCAAGCGTGATGGAGATCAAGACTCACCCGAGACCAAGGGAAGACGTTTGGGAGTTGAGACCAAGTCAAAACAGAGACAAACATCCCCGAAAAGTGAGACGGGGCCAAGACTCGGACAAGCCGGGACCGAGACAGGCTCAGACCGAGACCAAGACGAGCCAAATCCAAGACCGAGACAGGCCAAGACAAGCCGAAAGCAGAACGAGACGAGACCAACGCTTTCGGGAGACGAGCCAAGACCGGCAAAAATCAAGCGCGAGAGCGAGCCAAGACGGGACAAGACAGGACAGGACCCGGACAGGCTGAGACAGAGTCAAAAGCGAAAGACGAGCTCAAACCTCGGGCTCCGGCCTTGCTGTGTGTGCGGCCTTCGCATTTTCTTCCCGTTGTCATGATGCCTGGTGGCGGAGGACCGAGACCGAGAGAGGACCGCAAACAAGCAGAGACAAGCCAAAGTGAGGCTCGCCCGAGACCGAGACGAGCCGGGCTCACGGCGAGACCAAGAACACCGAGGTCAAACCAACGGGAGGGAGACTCTGCGGACAGGCGGCACGGTGGGCGACCGGTGAGCGCGTCTGCCTCGCAGAGCTACGGGGTTCGATTCGGGCTCCGGCCTTGCTGTGCGTGCGGCCTTCGCATTTTCTTCCCGTTGTCACGATGCCTGGTGGCGGAGGAACCGAAAACCAGGCAGGAAGGAGGAGCAGGGTGAGCTCCACAAATCGGACGACCAAAACACCGAGGACACGAAATCCAAGACAAGCAAAGTCATGAGAACAAAAAGAATCCAAAGTCACAAACAAAAAGCAGGGCTGCAGCAAAAACACGAACAGCAACAGAAACAATGACGGAAAACTAACATGACCGCAGCAAACAACGGGGCGCTCGTGCAGGGAGTCCTTTGAACACACACACACACACACACACACACACACTAATGTCACAATGAGCAACAGGTGTGCAGCTGCAGGCGGAGCCCTACAGCGCCACCTGTTGCTCACAAACACAACGGTGACACCCGTGCCCGCGTGGCTTTTCTCCGGCTACCCCGCCCACATTGGCAAAAAGCTGCACGGCAGGTGGATTGGGCGCTTGAAAGCACTTCCCGGGCGCGATTGTGAGGGCGAACAGCTGTTCGGCCGGCGCGTGCCCGCCCGTTGAGGCCGCACCCCGCACGCTGCCCGGAGAGCGGCGGGTGGGGCTCCGGCACGCCCGCCACCCTCCCGAGGACGAAGCGCTTTCAGATCACGGACGACCGGATGGACGAGGAGGGCGACGGCGAAGGTCGCCGAGTGAGATGGTCTCTCAAATGGCCACCGAGGCCGCGCCGTCCTCGTCTTCGGTCTCGAGTGCGGCGGAAGACTTGACGGGACTCTGCCATTGGTCATGAAGAAGCTCGCTTGGGCCGGAATGGCCCGTGGAGCGCAAAGCCCCCCCCCCCCACACAAAGGCGGGACGGCCGGAGAGATCTGAGGACGTGCTGCGATTTGCAAGTAGGTTGAAGCCCCCCCCGCACCCTCCCACCCCTTGATAAAAAGAGACCAAGCAGGATGTGTTTTGTTTTGTTTTGTTTTATTTTTCAGAGCAAGTTTTGAAAAAAAAAAAACCCTCCACAATCATGTTTGTGTGCTTTCACTGTATTGTGATTCTGAAGAAACGCAAGGTGGCTCGAGTGGACTTTCCGCGAGGCCTGCCTGCTGCCAAAGGTCACTTGGGGTCGGCTCTGGACTCTGGACTCCGGATCCTCCTTTGCAGTCTGGAGTGCAAAGACCCGATCCCAAGGAGAAAGCCGAGAGGCACGAGGTGGGCTTCAAGCACTTGATTTGGCGGAAGCTGCGCTGAAAGGGCTCGAGATCACCCCCCCCCCCCCACCCCCGCCCCGCAGGCG